GTTGCTGTTGTAGTCACATGTATATAAATCAACAAAAACGCTATTATTGGTATAAAGACTAAATGAATGTTAACCATATTTAAGTATCAAAAGCTTCTATTCTGGTCTTAGAGTTGCTAAATTTAAGACTAATAATTTTATTACTGCATGCAATGTTCATAGTGTGCTGGCGTTTAGTATAACATTTCTTTCACTGGTCAATAGATTAGCTCGGAAGGCCCCAGCTGTTCAAAATTTTCAATGGTTAAAAATGGTTGTTCACTAGAGAAGATGCTTCTGTATCAATAACTTCAAACTTTGTCATCTAACTGGAAAAAAAGCAGGACAAGGCAACTTCAACATACATGGATATCATCAGGTTCACTTTCAGTATCATCAACCAACAGAAACTTTTTCTCCCTGTACAAATACTTCTTCTTAAGTACATAGAGAACCACAATGTCACAAAGAACTGTGGCCTGCAAAAGAAATGAGATATTGTAAATTTCATGCTCCCCTGAAAAAAACCTCTTATCGCAGGTGAAGGGCACAAGAACATATTGTACTGTAAATACAACAAAAAAGAAAAATGTCAATGTCAATTTGAATACTTACGATACCAAGAAGGGCAAGACCAGATCCCAGGTTGAGAAACAATGGGATGACGCTAAATTTTCCTCCCTAGGAATACAGAAAATCAAACATTTTTTCCCTTATTTTTATCAATTTTATAGCTCTTTATTTTGCCACTCAAATGTTTTTAGATCTGTCAAAAACGAACTGTTATCTAACACTTGGAACACCTTTGCAAGCATGCATAGATATTATCAGGCACATGCCCTTCCTTTTAGTAATAACTGAACTGAACTCTGCAAATCTCTATCATTTAAATGAGGTGAAAGAAAAAAAGCCAAGGTGATAGGATTAGGGAAACGTTTAGATTCCAAATTGCTATGTGTTTGCTTGTAAAATTTGTAAACATATCAAGTGCTCTTTATTGATATTATTTGTTCCAGATACAATCTTCAATAATGAATTCATCCATGGTAATATTATTGCAAAAGAAGAGGGAAAAGGAAAAGTGTTTCTCAAGCAAAGTGTTGAGGGAAATACTTAATTAAAATGAAAGGCCATATAAAAACGATGATCAAGGGCTTTGACAAAAAATAGTCTGTAGCCATGAGGTTAGGACATTTTCTGTAAAAGATTTTAAAGGGTACATATGACTTCATGGTGAACTGAAAATGCAACAATTATTTTTACCTGTCCATATACCAGGATCATAAATCGAATACCATAAGCTTTGAACAGTGTCCTGTAAAGAACATTGTCTTGTACATAGTAATTAGCATATCTGCAAAAATATTGAAAAAATAAAATAAAATAAAGAAACTTAAAAACACTTATGTTTAGCCTGTGCCACGCTTTAGGATAGTAGGAATGTCCCAAACTGAACAAGCCATGAGAGAATAAGAAGTGTATGATCTGGGAAAGGGGGTGCGTGTTTTATGCATCAGATTTCATAGCCTGCGATCATGCCCTCTCCCTTTATCTCTGTAATCTGTTTTCGGGAGAAGGGCATGATACATTTCTTTTACAGATCACATGCAAAAAAGCCAGAATCTGGACTTTTTTCTGACTGGATAGGAAACAACACGGATGATTTGCGCTGTTCCGATTGGCCAAAATGCCGCCATCTGTTAGTTGTTGATTTCAGTCTGCATTTTTGCTTGCGTATTAATGAGCAGTGAATACACAGGCGGGTTCGTTATCAAATTTCTGCCAGCTCAGTTTTCTTGAATTTACGTTGCATTTGAAGAATTTCTAAATAGAAATTTCATCCATTGAAATATTTTCCATTTCATCGTATACTTAAAAGTTGCAGTCAAAAATTCACTGATCATTTGAATGCAATTTGATACCGGCTACGAGTTTGCAGGCAAGCTACGAGTTACAGAGGCGACAAACGGGGTCATTTTTCAAATAATCAATTCATGCTGGTTTGACGGTAATTCCTCCTTCAGAAACCTGCGAATTATTCTGAGCGATCTTCGCTTTCACGACACTTTCTGGTTTGTGAAATATGGTGCTTCAGCCTAATTTTTTTTCACTGCTTTCAGCACAAAACGAAGTCAACGAGCTGTTACCAGTAAATTCTTTGTTATTTGTAGCGGTTATGCATCAGTCAATTCCACCTGCGCCCAGCCCCCGGGCTGACCCCCGGGCATTAGCATTTTTTTTGCCTTGGATGGCAAATTCCCGGGGGTGGGGACTCTTGAGCTGTCAAATCCCCCGGGGTGGGGACGAAAAAAAGGGCAAATGCCCCGTCCTCTGTCAACACTGCAACATTTTTCATTGATCATTTAATGTTTTTCATTGACCATTTAATGTGCGATGTTTTGGTTTATTAACGTCTTCCTTTGTAATAGCGCGAGGATTCTAATTAAGACTTCACGACGCGACGACATGCACCAGTTTATGGTTTTAGTATTGGTATAAAATTATTGACATTAAAATTAATAGAGCGCTGTAAAGTTATATGTTAGGAATAGTTTTATTAATATGAAAGGATGTTCTTCAAAATAATATCAACAGAAATTTGATTCAATAACCAAAAAACGTTGATTCACATCGATAGCTCCAATTTCGCTACGTAATTCTGGCTTGATAAGCAATGAAGAAATGCATACATACATGTAAAATCGAGAACATGCCATTACAACCCTCTACAATTTATTCCTGTCCTTGACAGATGAGCCAATCTGCTTTTCTTCCAGTAAAACCTTCTTTGTAGTTATATTCTGATAGGAAACCGCGTGCCTGTCAAAAGCTCGGGAGTGGCCCGGGGGTTGGCAAATGCCCGGCCCCCGGGCAGTGCAACATTTGCAAATGCCCCACCCCTGGGACTGACAAGGCAGGCAAATGCCCCGCAGTTGCCCGGGGGGGGGGGGGGCTGGGCGTAGGTGGAATTGACTGATGCATTAAATAAAGGTACGGAAGCTCCATTTCATCACAAAAACAAAAAAAAAAAACATTTAAAATTTTTTTAGGAAGTTCCATCTGAACATGGACGTACTTAAAAATTTTCTTTCCCCTAAAATTGATTTCAAAAGAGACGTTATAATTGATTGGCTAATGACATGACAAGACTAGTCAAGGCAGACGTTAGATTCTGTAAATTAGGGGGCGGTTGACGGCTTGTTAAATAAATGTATCAGGCATTATTTTTTTTCCCTCTCGAGCTGGCCAGCTCTCGAGCCAAAGAAGCAGAGAAGCAAAGAAGCAAAAACACAAAATAATGCCTGATCTCAGGTTACTGATTTCATGACCTCTGCTCATTACTATAGGTATCTTGGAGTCTGGAACAGGTTATCTTCCGAGGTCAGAATATAAAAAAAATTGTCAGCGGGATCAGTATGATGATAATGATATGATATGGAACTGATGTTACCTGAAATTATAACCTTCGGCAGTCAGTGCTTTGGAGTCATCCAATCTGAGGAGAAAACATGATTATTTACTAAAAAACCATATAATGATTGGTGAAAAAATGAAAGATGGTAAATTTAACTATCTTTCATTCTTTCACCAAACAGTACGATCTCAACATTGCTGATCCTAGCAGTATGCAGGACGCGTGTCAAATATGAACCTTAAGTATATGGCCTCACTCTCCATGAGTTTTCCGATAGAGCGCCTGCCTGGTGTCTGGGAGGCCATAATGGTTCGAATCCTGTCAGGGACTTAGATTTTTTCATTGTCCCATGCTCATGACTGGCCATGAGTTGTGTTAATCAACACAAGGAGACATCCATTCACAGCAACACAATGAATTTTATCAGTTAAATGACTGCATTATGTTCATTATACATCTCCTTGCTTACTCCTACCAGCTACTTAGTGGGGGAGAATTTTTATTTTAGAAGAATGGCATTCTTGATACATTTATTAATGGTCAGGAGACATCATTGTTCCCAACAAACTACATTACATATGTACATCATTTTATGAAACAAACTACATTTTATAAATTTACATTATTTTAAAAAATCACTTGATAGATTTGGGGTGTGATTGGAAAAGAAATTTTGGGATAGCTAAGTCTCAGCAGTCAGAATATTGTTCAGACTGCATCCTAATATCACAGCCCGTCTACAATTATTGTAACTAGGAGATCTGTAATCACCTTCTAAACGAGTACTTGGGTTCACAAGAATATGCAAGAGAGTCAAAGTTACAATTCCACGTTATGACAATGGCCATGACTCCACCCTAAAATGACATGAAAATGACAACAGAAAAAAAGATTATTGAAAATTAAAGTAAATTAATCAATTATAATTATTATAAACTGAAATAAATATTTCATGTGTGATGTTCACTTTAAATTATACAAAAAAAGCGTTTCTCTATACCATGCAAGTTTCCAGTTGTTTTTTTATGTAAAAGGTAGAATGTCCATCAATTAAAAAGTTGGCAGTAACTTCACACACACTGATTGGCTAGATTGTATAAGAGTTTCTTTGCCGTGGCCACTGGTCAGGTCATTGATACTGAATTAGCATGATCTGAAACTGACATTCATGAAAAAAGTCAAATTCTGCTTTTTTCTTTAATTCAAGCCTGAACTTACCTTATAAGCTATTTCATCAAAATTGACACCTGCTAGCTCAACAATCTTTCCAAGCTGGAATACTGGACACAGAGGGTCTGTTTCAGGATCATAATTACAGATAGTCAAGTATGTTTTGTTATTGGACTGGATGTTTCTCCTGTTTGGAAAAACAAAAATAATATACTTTTAAAGGCAAAAACCAAAGCTTATCACCTGCAACTGCTATTGAAACCTCTAAGAGGTAAACTTGCTTGCCATAATGTTTAAGCTGATTCTTGTGATTCAGGGATGCATGCTTCATATAACAGGGGATGCAATTTGTTTGACAGCACAAATTTCTGTTATCAATGTAATAACAATGAGATGATTTTCTCAAAGTTTATTTGCTGTTCATAAAAAAAAATTCAAGTGTATTAACTGCCCTATATTTACAGCATGTATGTATCGGGCTATTACATTTTCCTAATAAAGCTGAAATCAAGGCTGCCAATACAATCACTGTCACAATTTTCATGTTGGAAGAATCTCCGATAAAATATTTATATACGGTTTATAACAGGGAATTTTAAATAAATATATCTTTTTTTCAAAATCTCCTTTCAGAATTATAATTTTTAATATGATTGTTACAAAAATGACGCTTGGCAAAAAAAAAAAAATTGTCTGTTTGGAGGACATGAGCTTACTGGCAATGAATAGTCTGTACAAAAAAGGGGCAATGACCGGTACCTATGGTTCAAAGCATAAACGTTTAATGCCGTGTGCTACAAGGACAATATTTATTTTCCAAAGAGAAAATTTAAATTATTTAATAGCTTGTTTCACTCAGTGTTACTGTACCTTGTTGTTTCAACACGTTTGTTTTCTATTGTAATTGAGAGGGGTCAAGGGTTTGCGGTGAGGTTTTGTGGAAATTATTATTTTAAGTTGCCGTATTGTGGTTTTACAAAACAAAGCAGTTTGCAGTACTTAGAAATTTTCGGGTAATTTCAATGCAGTTTGCGGTTTTCTTACGTTATTCTGTGTGGTGCTTATACGTAATTCTATGCGGTTTTGCGGTTTTGATCGTACCCCTCCTACGTCCCCCTCACTATTGCTAATATGTTTGCCATGCATTATCTGTGGAAAATGTATGTAATGAAATTTTGGGAATGTCCAACAAAAACCATGTGCTTGCAAAACAAAATTGTTCTTCAAGGCAGTCACATAGCCTGAATTTCAGACACTTAAAGTCGCTTACTCCCTCAGTTATCTGAAATTCAAGCAAGGCAGTCACGTAGTGTAGCGACATCTAAATTGCATGTGCACTGTAGTATGTTGGTTTGGCAACGACAGGCAAAGTTAAAACTTCTACAGATATGGTTCTGGGACTATTGTAATTTCTGGCCAAGATAAAGCACGCAAATGTCATAAGGAATTTACCACATTAAAGACAAAATTTTAAAAATACCAGCTAGTGTTTTGAATTTATGCAAATTTGTGACATTTTAATTGAATGTTTACATAGTAAAAGTGACAAATATTTATATTTGTGTTTGCATTTTCCCAGATTGCAATTTTTAATGTTTAATACGACAAACAATTAAAAAATCTTTATTACTAAACTGTAATATTATTACTTACGTTGATTCACCAAACTTGGGAAACTGCACATGGTTTTTAATGAGTAGGGTGAAAGTCTTGGCAGCTTCAAGAAGAGGAACATTATAACTAGTGCAAATAGGAAAGAACAACATCTCACACTGGTGATCAAGTAAACCTCTTTTTGCAAATTTGAAAATTCTTGATGTTTTTAGTACCTGCTACTCGCTCCAAGTTCTTTCATGTACCTATATCATAATGACACTTTACCTTATAATAAATTGTTTTTACTCAAATCTTTCAAACTGGAAATCAGATTCATCAATATTCAACAAGATACTCTGACTTTTACCGACGTCAAACCTGTAGAACAAGGGGTTAGTATCAAAAAATGTTTGATCCTGTTTCAAGGTCCTAGCTAGAATATGGAATTCATTACCGAATAATATAATATCATAATAATAATAATAATATATTCAAGCGTTTGATCAAACCATTTTTAAGGGTCAGACAAGATACAACCTAAACACCTTAACACCTTATATCTATATTTTTCTCTAAGCACACTTACATACTTAAAATACACATCTTTTTTCATTATTTCTAAATGCTGCCTAGTATGTAAATTGCCTGTGCGGGAAAATCTCTATTCCTCATAAGCTCTGCTTCTCGGAGATTTCCCCGCCACAGTCACTCCTTCCGAGTTGTATGCTCATTTTAAATTTAATATTAATTAACTATTTATTATCTTTTCTATTCTACTTGTAATTTATTCGGTGTGGCAAAATAATAAAATCAAAATAAATAAAATCAAAAACATTTAGCATTAGGTTTATGATTTTCTCATAGATACAGGATGAAATTTCAAGCATACTATTTTAGTAAACTCTCCAACTGATTTTTCCAGCAAGTGTTGGTCCATAGGGAACCAGAACCTTAGTACTCCCAACTCAAATGGCCGGTATGCTGGTTTAAAATTGTTGATGATATTAATATTTATATGTATTTATAATGTATTTAGATTTTCAAGGTATTTAAACTATCTGATTTTCTCTTCCTGCCTTGGTTAGTCCTGCTATTTGTGGGTAGAGCAGTTTGTAAATTAGCCTGTAAAATTTTGAAATAAACTCGAAACTGGTTGAAATCCATGCCAATTACTAAAAATATATATACTGCTACAGCATTTAATGACAGGATAATCCATAATGATGTAGTGGTAAGATATGCACGAAACTGAAAAGATGGTAAAAAAGCTACATTAACATATATATTTTACATAATTATTTATTTAAAAAAATGCAAGACTTACCTTAAATTAAAGCCTGGCATTGGAAGTTCTTCAATCTCCACTGGGCACCAGGAATAAATCTCACAAACTTTCTCTCCTTTTTCATTCTTTACACATTTTCCTGTCTTGAAACCTTGTAATTGTTAACAAGAATTTAAAAGCTTTTATTTTAAGAGTTTAAAAAGAGTCAGAGTTCTTTATATAGTTGGAATAACATCTTGTTTGAGCTTGAATAAGTAAAGAGAAGAAGAAAAAATTTTGACCATACATAGTACTACAGTCATACATGTTATGTTGGCACAGTGTTTACCAGCTCTTAATAAGTAAAACTCTAAAAATAATGATGTGTGCTGGCCTGCCTTAGCAACAAAATCAGGTGTCGTACACTGTATTAAAGGCTACATACCGTACATATCTTTGACACTACTCCATCACAGAACAAAACGCATAAAAAAACATAAGGTGATAAATATTGAAAAAAAAGGGTCCCATGCAATAGACTCAAGTCAAATTATGCATTTTAAGAATCAAGCGCTTTATGAAAAGGTTAGTTGGGTTTTTTTCCCCAGTTGAACAACTAATATGTCCACCAAAAATACAGAAGAACCGAGAGCCATCATAGACTAATTTCCCAAAAGGAGCCATTAATCACTAACAATAAATTATATCAATTCACTGGTAACCAGTGTGTATTAATTTTAGTGACTAATAAGTTCACAACACATTTCATTTACCACATGTAACCAACTCTTGGCTCAATTTAGACATTTGGATCACAAAATGCTAAAATTAAAGATATATGCTATTAGTAAAATCCAACTAGTTTTCTATTATCAATGCTGCGTTCTGATTGGTTGAGCTACTACTAGGCTATATGTTATAGCCCACTAGTAGCGCAAAGCGCCGGCTTTTTGGCGGCAAAAAAGGCTTAAGTCTAGCAGTAACTGGCTAAAGTTGTTTTGTCTTGATATTTTTGACCAACTACAATGAGGGACAAAAGTGTTGACACACTTCCGTAAAATGGCCCCTTTTTGCATGGTGGATATACTTATCCCCTTCCCCTGTCTACCCCAACCCCTTATCCCCAAAATCAATGTTGAATTTTGGACCCTCAAGTCTTTTTTTTACTTCAGACAACATTGATTCGGGGGGTCGGAGGATTTACGGTGTTTAAAAGGAATGAAATAATAAATGAATTACATGTTTGTTAAAAGCACCCGTTTTAAGCAAGTGTGTCAACTACTTTTGTCCCTGATTGTCTGAAATATGTATCTGTGTTTTCCGGCTAGATTTTTGACGCTGCTGAATTTTTGTGCGATGACGTTACTCTATGGGCCAAATTGTTTGTTTTTAAACATCAATTTATAGAGTTTCGTCCTGATTTGTAGTATACGTAGAGTAAAATGTACGAAGCGTATGTCATTACTTAATCTTGTACTCCCGCGCGCGTCCCTGATACCCTGTCGGGTCGAGACGAAATGATTTGTGTTGTGATCAATGCCGTTGCTGCAGATGTAATGTTTTCACAAGTATTATCAATAGTGGAAAAAGGATGGAAACATTAAGGTACAATGAAAATTGTTCTGGTAAATGGTTAACTTAAGCGAATGAAGTACTGCAGAGTAACAGAGGGGACATGCGATATTTTTGACATTGACTTGTGCCATTAGTGAAAACACGTGAACAATATACAGGTTATGAACCTCATAAATGATGGGCCAGCCGTTTGTGCTATGCCCTATATATAGATGTGTTTGTAATTTTTTTGAGACCTTTTCTAACCTAACTGATCCAAACCTTTAGTGTAGGTAGGCGTCGAGGTTAGGAATCTACTTTTGTAATGATTTTACATGACCGCCTGCCATTTATTCAGTGGCATGATTGTTTATTGATGTTGGACGGACAACTATTTCATTTCCCAGCTCGTAAATCACATAATGCCAAAGAAATTGTTTTCAAAATAGACACACCAGTTTGTATCATCGCTAAAACAGCAATTACTTTGGCCCAGAAGTTCACCTGATGACAAGCAAAGCGGGATAACACGTGATCGATGACGGCCGTGCGCTGGAAAATTTTCCTTTTTCCTGCGCCAATTCCTCACAAAAGGCAAAAGAAGATTCCGCTATGTAGAAAGTGCTTCGCAATACGTATTCTTGGTGAGAAAAATTCCAGCGATGTGGTGCAAATTTGGAGTTTCAACGGTTAACCACGAGAATACATATCGACATTAAGAGGTCATAACAGACTACTGTTACTTTCCGTTTGCCGAAACGTGGTTAACCGTTGTAACACGAAGGAAGCAGTGTTTTCCTCAGTTTGAGCTGTCGTTTTGAGAGTCAAATACCAGTTCACGTTTCAAAGCTCTCTTTTCATTTTCTGCCGACAATATACAAAATACAGGGTTTCGCTTGAGAAATGCAGTCGAAATACACAGACATATGCGCTTATGTCACGCTATTTGCGTTGCGTTATCATGTCACACAGGGTGTCACGAGGTGGGATTGAAAGTAATTGTTTTCGTGTACACTTGCAATGTTTGCTACGCTGTCCTTAGTTTTTTATTGAAATTGGCCATGAATTTACCTTCACTTTTCCGTAGTTTCGATATTGAACGCAGTGACGGCCGCTCCTCACTAACGCTCCATATTTCCGTGGCCGGCCAGTGACTATCCCCACTACGTGTCAATCCTTACCCTATCCGTGATTGTTTGGCCCTTAATAATAGGATAAAGTGAAGAACGAGAAATATCCACTTTATTAAAATATTTTCAGTACGCAACCCCTTGAAATTCATCAGAAGTTGTACATAGGCGCGAGTTTCAGCGTCAGTTTTAGCATGTAAACCATATCGACGTTAATTCTGGATATCGCAGCCCTTTTATTACGTCATCGCGTAATTCGAATTGGCCCTATAATTCGGTCGTGAATAAGTCAATGTCACCCCCCAGCACCAATAACATAATTATGTCATTGATCCCTTTCATTTCAGTTAAAACCAGTGTTATACACGGCTCAACTTGTGCAGTAGCACAATTTTGCATTCAGACAATGAGGGACAAAGTGTTGACACACTTCCGTAAAATGGCCTTTTTGCATGGTGGATATGCTTATCCCCTCCCTGTCTACTAACCCTTTATCCCCAAAATCAATGTTGAATTTTGGACCCTCAAGTCTTTTTTTTACTTCAGACAACATTGATTCAGGGGTCGGAGGATTTACGGTGTTTAAAGGAATGAAATAATAAATAATTATGTTTGTTAAAAGCACCCGTTTTAAGCAAGTGTGTCAACTACTTTTGTCCCTGATTGTCTGAAATATGTATCTGTGTTTTCCGGCTAGAATTTTGACGCTGCTTAATTTTTGTGCGATGACGTTACTCTATGGGCCAAATTGTTTGTTTTTAAACATCAATTTATAGAGTTTCGTCCTGATTTGTAGTATACGTAGAGTAAAATGTACGAAGCGTATGTCATTACTTAATCTTGTACTCTCGCGCGCGTCCCTGATACCCTGTCGGGTCGAGACGAAATGATTTGTGTTGTGATCAATGCCGTTGCTGCAGATGTAATGTTTTCACAAGTATTATCAATAGTGGAAAAAGGATGGAAACATTAAGGTACAATGAAAATTGTTCTGGTAAATGGTTAACAAGCGAATGAAGTACTGCAGAACAACAGAGGGGACATGCGATATTTTTGACATTGACTTGTGCCATTAGTGAAAACACTTGAACAATATACAGGTTATGAACCTCATAAATGATGGGCCAGCCGTTTGTGCTATGCCCTATATATAGATGTGTTTTTAATTTTTTTGAGACCTTTTCTAACCTAACTGATCCAAACCTTTAGTGTAGGTAGGCGTCGGGGTTAGGAATCTACTTTTGTAATGATTTTACATGACCGCCTGCCATTTATTCAGTGGCATGATTGTTTATTGATGTTGGACGGACAACTATTTCATTTCCCAGCTCGTAAATCACATAATGCCAAAGAAATTGTTTTCAAAATAGACACACCAGTTTGTATCATCGCCAAAACAGCAATTACTTTGGCCCAGAAGTTCACCTGATGACAAGCAAAGCGGGATAACACGTGATCGATGACGGCCGTGCGCTGGAAAATTTTCCTTTTTTCTGCGCTAATTCCTCACAAAAGGCAAAAGAAGATTCCGCTATGTAGAAAGTGCTTCGCAATACGTATTCTTGGTGAGAAAAATTCCAGCGATGTGGTGCAAATTTGGAGTTTCAACGGTTAACCACGAGAATACATATCGACATTAAGAGGTCATAACAGACTAATGTTACTTTCCGTTTGCCGAAACGTGGTTAACCGTTGTAACACGAAGGAAGCAGTGTTTTCCTCAGTTTGAGCTGTCGTTTTCTTTGAGAGTCAAATACCAGTTCACGTTTCAAAGCTCTCTTTTCATTTTCTCTGCCGACAATATACAAAATACAGGGTTTCGCTTGAGAAATGCAGTCGAAATACACAGACATATGCGCTTATGTCACGCTATTTGCGTTGCGTTATCATGTCACACAGGGTGTCACGAGGTGGGATTGAAAGTAATTGTTTTCGTGTACACTTGCAATGTTTGCTACGCTGTCCTTAGTTTTTTATTGAATTGGCCATGAATTTACCTTCACTTTTCCGTAGTTTCGATATTGAACGCAGTGACGGCCGCTCCTCACTAACGCTCCATATTTCCGTGGCCGGCCAGTGACTATCCCCACTACGTGTCAATCCTTACCCTATCCGTGATTGTTTGGGCCTTAACAATAGGATAAAGTGAAGAACGAGAAATATCCACTTTATTAAAAATATTTTCAGTACGCAACCCCTTGAAATTCATCAGAAGTTGTACATAGGCGCGAGTTTCAGCGTCAGTTTTTAGCATGTAAACCATATCGACGTTAATTCTGGATATCGCAGCCCTTTTATTACGTCATCGCGTAATTCGAATTGGCCCTATAATTCGGTCGTGAATAAGTCAATGTCACCCCCAGCACCAATAACATAATTATGTCATTGATCCCTTTCATTTCAGTTAAAACCAGTGTTATACACGGCTCAACTTGTGTGCAGTAGCACAATTTTGCATTCAGACAATGAGGGACAAAAGTGTTGACACACTTCCGTAAAATGGCCCCTTTTTGCATGGTGGATATACTTATCCCCTTCCCCTGTCTACCCCAACCCCTTATCCCCAAAATCAATGTTGAATTTTGGACCCTGAAGTCTTTTTTTTACTTCAGACAACATTGATTCGGGGGGTCGGGGGATTTACGGTGTTTAAAAGGAATGAAATAATAAATGAATTACATGTTTGTTAAAAGCACCCGTTTTAAGCAAGTGTGTCAACTACTTTTGTCCCTGATTGTAGTTGGATTTTACTAAAACAATAATATTATTCCTGTCGCCCTCATGGCCTCCGAGTCAATAGCCCATTTGGCCTTCGGCCTGTAGATCTCTGGCTATTGACTCAGAGCCCATTCCGGCTCGAAGAATAATTGTTAAATATTTTATCAATATATTGTATTATTATAAGTGCATACCATGGCCATTTATCACAGGTTCTAGTGGTTTACAATCACTGTCACTTGTACACTGTACCCCTGGCAACTTTGAGCTCTCTGGACAAGTGTTCTGTGTTTGATTTGGTGTGATGATCATATTTGTCATTACAAATACTGCATTATTCTCCTGTTGGCACAAATTAGCAGCAAAAACTTAACAGGTAAAGTATCAATAAACTCAGGCAAGTAATATATACATATCAGGACTAAAACTGTTATCTCCCACCCCTGGGTGTGAGGGGGGTACTTTAGGAATTTCTGGGTGGGGATGTGCCACTGGGACCCTGGAACCCTTAACCTATACCAGAGCTGGTTAAGCTGAATTTTGCCACCCTATACTAGAGTAAACTCCCCCGGCCAAGTCCCCCCTATCCTAGAGTAGCTGTTTTCCAGAAACTACTAAGGTCACTAGCACAGTCTAGCCAAAACAAAACCTTATACCACAATCCCTAGTCTAGATAAAATCTTCAACCAACTGATCAGTTTCCTGAAAAATGATACCCTATTCTAGACCCAAATGCTCTGATTTATATACCCTATCCTAGAGTAAACTGCTTGAAAACCATACCCTTCACAGCAGCACATACCTATATAGCCCATACATGGCAGTACCCCCCCCGGCTCCCACCCCTGCCCTTAAGGAATTCCCCACACCACCATCTTTCATTTTTTATAAACAATATTTTGTATACAAAAAAAAAATAACTCCTACTCTTGTAAAAATTTTTTAGCGATCGCGCCGCGATCGTGGCGTGATCGCTGTTAAAATCGCGTAGCATTTTTGGCCAGATTTCGCGGCGCGATCGCTGCGTTATTGGGAGCGATCGCGGCGCAATCGCTGTCATCAATCGCTTAGCGTTTTTGGCTGGATTTCGCGGTGCGATGAGAGTGATCGCTGTTGTCGATCGCTTAGCATTTTTGGCCTGATTTCGCAGCGTGATGAGAATGATCGCTGAGCGATTGCTGTGTGATCGCTGTCATCAATCGCTTAGCGTTTTTGGCCGGATTTCGCGGCGTGCTGAGAGCGATCGTGCCGCGATCGCGGTCATTAATCCCTTAGCGTTTTTGGCCGAATTTCGTGGCGAGATGGCAGTGATCACTAGCGTTTTTGGCCGAAGTTCGCGGCGCGATTGGAGCGATCGCGCCGCGATCGCTGTCATCGATCGCAGATGGTTTTCGGCCGGATTTGTCGTTGCGATCACGGTCCGGACGAAAAAGACATAAATGAGTACTTCTTATCTCAGAAGAAGAGCAGTGAGCTGAAATTTGTCCTGAAATTTGCATAACATTTTGCTAACTTGTGACAAACGGAGAGCTTCTGAGCTTTGCAGAAAATCGTGCATCATAGAAAATGACCGCTCCGTTTGAAAGCCCCTGGTCCGGCCAGTGGTTCCGGCCACTTTGGCCACTTTAATTGGCAGCCGACATCAAAAGTGCGTAAAAAGAAACCTTCCAAGCACCATCTGATCTAAATTCCTGGGCCGAGTTGTTCAAAGCTGGGTTAAGATAACCCAGGGTTAGTGCGAGATTTGAATTCAGATTTGAAAGCTTAAAAAGCATTGAGTTTTAATTCTTTTTGTCTACTAGTTGATGATTGGAAGCTCTAAAAATAACAGAGAAAATTACGCGACAAAATGCTTTTGAACGCCAGAAAAAGAAACCCGGGTTAAGCGCTAATCAGCTTTCGAACAACTGGGCCCTGTATATTTTTTATAGGCTGCTCACTTAAAATTCGAAACCAAACTGAGATTTCTGTGTAAAGAGCTAACGTTTGGTCTCTCGAAGAAACTAAACCGTGAAAAGGGTCAATTCGCCACCATTTTAAATGAATTCAATCAAAGTTTAGAGGGAAAAAAATATTGATCGTCGCTTGTTTACGTCCTCAAGAAACACTTCCCATCAGAAAATGTTGTCTAAGTCATGCCGCGACTGAAAAGCGCGCGTCATAATGCACGTGCAGGACTTGCAGAGTAATGTTTTCCTTGTTAGGCCCATTGCTTGCCAAGTTTTTTGACTTTGCTAAATGCTACAGCTCCCAAATGAAATATAAGTTTCATTTTATGGCCCTCTATATCACTGCTTAATAAATAAAGTGCAGTGTTACTGGGAAATTTTCAAACAGGCTTTCCCTTTTCAATCACTATTTGGCTAGTTTGGCCGGACCAAGGACATAGTACGCAAAATTTATTTTAATGGAATATTATTTAAACTTTGGTTTTAAAATTCAACCAGTCGACCGAATTTTTTTTTGGCAAGTTGAAAGAACATTTCTTGTACGCCGTGTACACCTAAAATTAGCTTTCTTAACACTTAATTGCATATACTTGAACTAAAAATGCATCCAAGTAATTTAAGGTGCCATAAAAAAAGCAAAAATAACAGAACAAAATTCACCTATGACAATCGAGCTTCAGAAGGCAAACAGATCAATAAAAAATCGGAAAGTTTCATTTGTAGTTTAACCTTATTTTCTTCCCGAAAATTATGTACATCACAAATTAAAACGGGCCGGAACTTATCCAAACTTATCTAGGAAAGATCGAGGCTACTCAGTCTGCAAGCAGGGTAGTATAAATCATGTCAAGATAAAGCTAAATTTTCAACTTAAACGGGTCTAAATAGGGAATGAATTTTCAAAAGAAAGGTCTTATGTGAGAGGTCAGTGAATCGTGTTTTTTATTTTTAGCTACGTGTGAGCAGAGTAAAACGTTTTATATCCTGAAGTATTGAGATAATGAAACCGCCTATATGCATTGGTTTCTTTTCTTTTGATCCACTTGTCCATGTCTTCAGATAGGTTCATCCTATTAGGGATAAAAATATTTTTTCTTTTTTCCTCATGCTAATGATATGTTTCATGTTCATTTACCGTGCTTAAATATTCTCACTGAAATTCTCCATACTTCTTTATTAAGCCAATTGAATGTGACGTCCCACATGTTTTGTCTTCAGCCTAAACGTTAACTTTGAAATTTAGTCATAATGTACAAACTGAGTACTCACAACTGTTGTCTTTGCCAGATTAATTGTTGCTGCAGAATATTGAAGAGGCCATTATGCATGGCTCTTGGTATATTGCCATGTTTAAGTGAAATAATATTCTCGTCAGCCTGCAGCAAACACTGTCCCCATTGAAACAGATGATAATCTACTTTTGTTTCTATCATTTACCGCAATGTGGTGCTTTTAAAATTTATTGGGCTGAGCACACCACACTTCTGAATAACAATTATTCCAGTTCAGGTTCAGGCTTTATACCCTTAAAGATTTTGGCATTTTAGACCAATAAAACGTTTTCTCTTGATTACTTAGCAATATTGTCTTATACATTGTTGCTACTCATGGAACGTAAATGTGGTCGCCATTAAAAATGCAATTTAACTGAGTTCACAACAAAAAGTAGCCGATGTGCTGATGGTGGTCAGGAACAGCAGAGTTTGACGCATGCTCTGTCGCACTCTCTGGCATAGCCTTAAAGCACATTTCAGTGTGTTGATGCATAACGGCTTTTACCTGTGGATTGGCAGCCATGGGGTCAGTTGGTCACAGGGCAGGCCATCTGATATTACACAATGGTGCAATTTCGCACAATTGACTTCAAAACACAAACAATCGCACAATTTGAGGAAAATCACATAATTCGTAAAAAAAATGCTAAATTAAAGTACCGGTAAAGTAAACAATGAATTCTAACTTTAATAAACATTTTCTCAATCTTGATGTTATTTAAGGTGATTTATCACTAATGAAAGCCTTGTAAGACAGTACATCTGAAACCTTTGATCGTGGTATCTAAGCAGCCATTTGATTTGAGAGACAAGCAGTGTGGTCAGTGGTGTAATGGCATCATGTAATATTAAACAAGCGTCTTTTTTCTTTCTTTGTAATTGTTTTCTTTTCCGGGTCAAGATAATTGGACAAATTTAACCATTTTTCATCGCACCCTATCACAAGGCCTGACAGGGGAGGTCCCAAACATCCCAGGCACTCATCTTCCATTCATTGCAATTCAGTTGTTATGGTTAGATCTAAAAGTTTGTACCTCAGGAAGGACAACAAAATCTGATGAGTCCCACACATGAACACCTCCATACAGTGGAAATTCTGGGCCACTCCTTGTTAAGTTGGTGAGTGATAAGCCTTTCACTTTGGTAGTTACAGAACTGTATGGTTCCTGAAATTCTTGATATCCTTTTTTATAAACAATCACATACCTTAAAAATAAAATTACTGCAAGGATTAAATACCTGAAGGTCTATTAAAACCAAACAAAAGAAATTACTAACATCAAAGATTGAATCATTTCCTACATGCTGCACGAATTGTTGTAAATATGTCACATATTATGGCTATCTGAGGGGGGCATTGGGATTTTCGGTTTTGGCTATTTTTTGGATCGGTTTTTCGGTTTTTGTTGCAAAAGACTTTCGTTTTTCGGTTTTGGTGGTCATTGCGGTTAGCGGATTTTTCGTTTTTTAGCATCTCGTTTTTGTGAAAAATACTAGCGGTTTTTCAGTTTTGGTACCCAATGTGGTTTTTGGTTTTTGGAAGGGCAGAGAGTTTCAATAATCGACTGCTGTTTTGAGTATCTGTTTATTACCACATTAAACCTTAGAGCAAGTTCCTGCTGCCATGTAAAACTGAAAAGGAACTAATTGTACCGGTTAGCTTCCTCAGTGTCGACTCAGCTCAGTGCAATCGCATGTTAGACAATCGAGTCTCCAAACTTTCAGGTGTTAGTTATCAAATGGAAATGTTCGATTGAAGATTTTCGATTGAAGTTTCCAGAGCTATAGCTTTTTGCGACTGCAAAATTGCAATTCTAAAGAGGACTTGTGTGCAAATTCTCCTAAGTTAACTAGGCTCCATATAACTAGCGGCTTTTCGGAAATTGAGCCGCAAAGTCTGGGCTCGAGAGAGCGGCAGAAACAAAGCCTATGATTTAAGCAGACACAAAAAGATACGAAGGCTTCAGACAAAGTCCATGACATTCACAAATACTTTGGTGAAATTAGTGTTAGTTTAGTTTGCTCTGTATGCCCCACTTGTCACCATTGTATCGGTTTTCGACGGTTTTGTATGCGGTTTGCGGTTTTGCGGTTTTGGATGATTTTTTTCTTCGGTTTTGCGGTTTCTAATATACCCCAATGCCCCCCTCCTATCTATATCTTGCCTCCAACAAAAATAATTGATGATTCTTGCAAATTGGCCAGTGGTCATTATTAAAAAAGAAATATAAAAGAAATAAATAAAAGAAGTCGTATAATATTTATAAATTACAGGCAGTTTGTAAATGCCATGTTCAACTCTCCTTTTCCTGGGGTAGCTAATTGAACGAAACTGAACCAAACTCAATCGCACCTGGCCTAATTGGTTAGATTTAGAACTTTTCGGTGAGTTTGATTATTCTTCAGACGATTGCGCGACCTATAAACAGGGCCTTACACTTCACTTTGTTGGTCAGTGGCCAAAGTACAGGCACCAGTTCATGTTGCAAATGTCCAAGTTTAGTCAGAGTTGGACCCCTATTATCTTGCCTAATAACAAACTTTTCTCCGACACCAACGGCAAAAGAGCATTCGTGTGCTAGCCTTTAACCCTTGCTGTGACATCTTTGTGTACTCGAGTTTGAAATTGAAGCCAATACTTGAACACAACACCTTTCTTGAAACCAGAAGAAACTGGCTTTATGTTCGATTGTTTGAGTGTTTGATTGGCAAACTTTTTGGGATCAAAATAGCAAATATGCAAATGACACCTAACTTCAGATATTTCCCAGTGTCTATCCCAGTTTGGTCACTGTAAATTTTATAGAACATGGCTAGGCTACTTCTTTTTTCATCTTTCTTCAAAGGTGTTCCACTGAAATTCCTGTCGGATTTGCATATTGAAGCAGCTGATTGAATACGTACAACTACTGATCCTACAGCTGCAGCTCATCGAGTACCTTAAAACGTCAGCAGTTCTATGCAGTCTTTTATCTGCTTTTGCAAGGACTGGACTGACTTACACGTTAGGGAAGGACCATTAGAAAAGTTATGGGGAGGGTGGGGAATTTTCGAGCCGTAGGAATTTTTTTTCGTTATCAATTTCCTTGCGTGATTTTTTTTTAGGTCGTAGCATGAATATTTTTGTAGGGTTAATTGCCGTGCATGAATTTTTTCATTTAATTTTCCCTTGCGCGAATATTTTTTTGTACTTCGCCCGCCAGCCATAAGTTTTCTAATGGTCCGTCGCTTACTTCCAGTCGAAGGTCAAGAAAGGTAGCTTGTTGCGTTACCTTGTGTATGTTTGCTATTAATTTCGAAACTTAACCATGGCAATACTCACCCTATAATGTAAACAATGATTGCCAACTGTATTAGTCGATTGATCAGTCCAACCTTTTTGCTTTTGATATGCACTATCTTTGCTGTATCATACCTCAAAAGGGCTGACAGAACTGTTTCACAAATTCCCCTACAAGACACCATTTTTTCCAAATTTGATCGTGACGTGAACTAAACTTTTACCACGAACATTTTATCGACCCAACTAATTGCCTGCGTGCAGACGTCTCGTATTTCCTTTGTCTGCACGCAGGCAACCCAACTAACTGCCCCTGGGTCTCCGCATCCTCGGAGACCCAGGGGCAGATAAAGGGGGCGAGGGAAAGTCTAAACGGGCGGAAAAATATATACGGAACGAAATTTTCCGCCCGTTTAGACTTTCCCTCGTCCCCACTATCTGCCCCTGGGTCTCCGAGGACACTTAAGAAAGCAGTCAAAAATAGGGTACAATACCATGGGGAACGTTGTAATAGAGGGCAATTCATAGCACTGTGGAATACCACGTTTTAAAATCGTATATAATCGACTCTCAAGGACCTACAAACTATTTTATCACACATTACACGAAAAAACCTAAAATTTTTAGTGATATGAGCTGTTCTTTTAGTTTCTGAATAGCGATTTTGCAGTATTTCGTATCCGTGGTCTAGTTAACGTGCAAATCTGTCACCGAACCACCATGGTGCAGCAATGGCTAAAATCATTCTCCCGTTACCAATCTGGATTTATCCTTTAGAATTGCCTCTTGGTCCCATTGTTTTTATCAGAAAGTGGTTTTGTGACGGGTTTATGGATGATTGAGACCATTGGCTGTAGACCTTACTTGATCCATCTTACTTGGAGTGGTCTCAAAAGTTAATGACCTAAGGCAGGCTTGACCTTCGTTCATGTAATCTACTTTTTATTGCATCAAGGCTTAATGCCAAGTCTGATAGTTTAGTTTCATGGCATCGAGAACCTGGTGCCACAGCTGTTGATACTTTTACCTGAGCTAATTTTAATTGTTACGCTTCTCCTCAGTTCTAGTCAGCTGTCTCGACTTTCGGCCAAAGAAAAAGTTAACCAAAACGTGTACTAAGCCGTCTTCGCCATCTCTGTACGGTTTTATTTGCAGTCATTCGTAAGAAAGGCACTGATGTTATTAAGACCCCTTCTACTCACTGCGCCTTTTGGCTCGGATCTCAATGACGGAATAAAAATGAAACAGCGCTGTCACCTACTTAGGCAGCAGAATGAAGTGAAATGCCCATAGTAACTTAGTAGATGTCATGGATGGAGTCTTTCCTTCAAAAGAACCTTTTTCAAATAATGAATATCTGATTTGGGGTGCAAACTTGAGTCGATGTAGATTTTCTTGCCGTTGGCAAACTAACCAAAACAACTTTTCCAATGGCTTATGAAGCCAAAAAAGGACGTCTTACCTTCTCGTTTTATGTGATAAAAAGGTTCACGCAAATATTTGTAAAAGTTAATCAAAAAATGAAAAATAAAAGGGTGTTGGAATATTATTATAATCTTTTTTACTACCAGTTATCATCTTCGGCCGGACTTACTCTTCTCCGAAGCCACCCCTCTTCTATGAAGGGTGTATCACCGATGCAATCGATAGTCAGTTCTGTGAAAGCTCTTTAGAATGCTAAACTCCGGTGGTGAACAGGTTTCCAAAACGTTAGTTGTGCTTAATTATTGACTTAAACCTACTCTATCATGTCAAAAAATAGATTTTCTTTCAAAAAAACACTTTTTTTAAAGACGTGAACTTTTAATACTAACAAAATGAGACATGCTATAATTCTTCGAAAAGAAAATGGGTCCTGCTTAAGTCGAATCGGCGCACAATATTGCTTGTAATCAAACTGATAAAATACAATTTAATTTCCTTTTAGTGATGTTGGAAAGATTGTCGACCCTTTATTTTTTTACGGCACGATTTTAAGTGGGTACCAAGGTCACACATCTACAAGATGATTCTTAAGTTAAAAAAGCTGACAAACATTGTTTTAAAGAATAATACAAAGAATGGTAAAAGAGGGTCAAAAACGAGATTCACCCTGTGCAGATTCACCTGATCGGGATTCGGGATCGGCACCTGATCACAGTAGTATCCGTAATAAAGAGGTTAAGTTTATATGAAATTACTCTCTGGGGCCGAGATTTCGTGTCCTTTGTCCGTATTAGAAAGAGTCGGTATTATGGAGGTTTTTTTAAAGAAAATATATGAGAATTTCTCGGGACATTGGAAACTGTCCGTAATAGAGAGGAGTCCGTATTAGAGAGGTGTCGATCCGTATCGAGAGGTTTGACTGTATTCTTTTCTACCACTAATTATCATGTGAAAGGTTTAAATCCAGGAGTCATTTCAAAAGTAGGTTGAGTTTCATCGTCCGAGTAAACGTAGTCCTGTATAGAACTGTTGTTGTTGACATTGACTGATGTTTCGACAACCTGTGCGGTCATGTCAGAGTCAAGGTAAGTTGTATCACGTCAGTTGATAGTATTATGCTCTGGTTATAGAGCAAAACTCTGGTGGTAAAAAGGTTACTTTCCAAAATGTTAGTTTTCTTAATCATTGACTTCAAAATACTCGGTCATTTCAAAAAAAAAATTCTTTCAAGAGAAAACCGTTTTTAAAGGCATCATTTTTTGACACTTTCAAACTGCCACATGCTATAATTCGTCGCTAGTACTCTCTAGGGTGGATCCCGCTTTAGTCAAAGCGGCGTACAATGTTGCTTGTCCTCAACCTAACGGAAACACTTTAATAACTTTATGCTGTGCTAATGATGTTGGACAGAGTGTGGACCCGTTTACCACGGCTTTCAGCGGATACCTAGGTCACGCATGTAAAAGATAACTGTTAAGATATAGCAACAAATACGACCTAAAAAATAAAGTTCTAAAGAATAATACAATGAATGCTAACCTGAGAATAGTATGATGAATGGTAAAAGAGGGTAAAAAATATGACTCTACGTACCGCGCCACGAAAAGCCTTTCCCATTTTTAAAGGAAATTGATCTTTCACAGTTTAGCCTAAAAATTTGCTACATTTGAATGTAAATAAGGTCAATTCTCGTCGAAATATGTTTTTTAGGAAAATCGACAAGATAGCTTTGTAAGCAGCTCGAACATTTAAATCGTTGTTGTCAAAGGAAGCACAACGTTCAACAGACCGTCACTATTCTTTTCTACCACCTAGTATCATCTTCGGGCCTTATTCTTTTCCGAAGCCGCCCTTCTTGGTGTATAAAGTTTTCATTTTAAATTTACTCCAAGCTTACAGAAAGGTAAACATCGGTGGTGATTAGGTGTCAAAATCGTTAGTTTTTCTTTTTATGGGTAGATTTCTTTTCATAGTTTCTAATCCTGGAAAGAATGTCCACACACCCACGTCACCGTTATATATGCGGATAAAAAGTACACGCATCAAAGCAAGTTCAACTTCTTTTACCTTCTAATAACAAATAAACTAAGATATGGATTAGTTTATACGAATAATTCAATGAATGGTGAAGGAGGGTCACAAACGCGGTTTGACTTCAAAATACTCGGTCATGTCGAAAAAAGAAATTCTTTCCAGAGAACACTATTTTTAAAGGCATCATTTTTTGATACTTTCAAACTGCGACATGCTATAATTCGTCGCTAGTACTCTCTAGGTTAGATCCCGCTTTAGTCAAAGCGGCGTACATTATTGCTGTCCTCAACTTAACGGAGACACTTTGACTTCCCTTTATGCTGGGCTATTGATGTTGAAACGAGTGTGGACCTGTTTACCACGGTTTTCAGCTGATGCCAAGGTCACGCATACCCAAGATATCTCTTCCGTTATAGCAACAAATAAGCTGAAAAGTGAAGTTGTAAGAATAATACAATGAATGGTAAAAACTTAAGAATAATTTGATGAATGGTAAGAGAAGGTCAAAAAGGTGACTCTACGTACTGCGCGCCACGAAAAGCCTTTCCCATTAATTAAAAAGGAGTTTTAAAGGAAATTGATCTTTTACGGTTTAGCCTAAAAATTTGCTACATTTGAATGCCTGAATAAGGTCAAATCTCGTCGAAATATGTTTTTTAGGAAAATCGGCAAGACAGCTTTGTAAGCAGCTCGAACATTTAAATCGTTGTTGTCAAAGGAAGCACAACGTTCAACAGATAGTCACAACGTTCAACAGATAGTCACTTCGGGCCTTATTCTTTTCCGAAGCCGCCCTTCTTGGTGTATAAAGTTTTCATTTAAATTTACTCCAAGCTTAGACAAAGGTAAACATTGGTGGTGATTAGGTGTCGAAATCGTTAGTTTTTCTTTTTATCGGTAGATTTCTTTTCATAGTTTCTAATCCTGGAAAGAATGTTCACAAACCAACGTCACCGTTATATGCGGATAAAAAGTACACGCTTCAAAGCAAGTTCAACTTCTTTTACCTTCTAATAACAAATAAACTAAAATATGGATTGATTTACACAGAATAATTGAATGAATGGTGAAGGAGGGTCACAAACGCGGTTCTACTAACCACGTCCATTGAAAAGCCTTTTGCGTTATTAGTAACAAATTTAAATGGGTTATTTTCAAAGATTTCGCTAAGAATTGACCAAACGTATACAAAAGAAAAATGCTTTTTGCAACACGGTTTTTCAGAAAATGGAGGGGTTCAGACGTTTGACTCGTTGAAACAGTTTGAGTAGAATAGAAAAACAGCATTCAACCGAATGTTCTATTTTACCACTAGTTATCATCTTTGACCGTTCGTATTCTTCTCCGAAGGAAACCGTCTTTGTGTATTAAGAATTTTTAATGTTTATTCTCAACCATGCAATCAACAGTCTTTCTGTTAAAGATAACAGAAAGCTAAAAACTGGTGGTAAATAGGTTACTTTCCAAAACGTTAATTTTGTTAATCATTGACTTCAAAATACTCGGTCATGTCGAAAAAAGAAATTCTTTCCAGAGAACACCATTTTTAAAGGCATCATTTTTTGATAAGCTTTCAAACTGCGACATGCTATAATTCGTCGCTAGTACTCTCTAGGTTGGATCCCGCTTTAGTCAAAGCGGCGTGCGTACAATATTGCTTGTCCTCCACTTAACGGAGACAGTTTGATTTCCCTTTATGCTGTGCTATGGATGTTGGAAAGAGTGTGGACCCGTTTAGCACGGTTTTCAGCTCATTCCAAGGCCGCACAAGCACAAGATATCTCTTTTCCGTTAAA